AAGGTGCCATCAATACTCTTTATCCTGTACTTTCTCCCGAAAATAAAGAAACAGGAGAGTACTATAACGAAGGAATTAAACAGGAGCCAAGTAAAGTTGCAAATGATCAAGAAGTTGCAGATAAATTGTGGAAAGTTTCTGAACAATTATTAAGAGAACGTGGATTGATTTAAATATCAAGTTTTCTTTGTTTTCTTCTTGTATTACACAGTAACATTTTAAATAGATAAATATAAATATTGTATGTGTTTTTAAAGAATAGTATAAAAAATAAATTCTTTATTTGATAATATTAAAATTAATGAATATTTCATTATTCGCGTGTTATATATAATTTATATCAAATCATTAGTCGCGTGGAATGATCCTATATGTTCTATCGAATATTCTCAAAAAAAATTTTCGAGGTTTTTATTATGAAAATCTCGGACATGTGATAATTTTAAAGTAGAGCCTTAATTCGTTACGTTTGAATAATACTTGAATAAACAAATTATAATTTACATTTTCGAATAAATTAACTGAGTTTTATGTTCATGTTTAATAATAGACATCGATAAATAACTAAAAAAAATATGTTCAAGCTAATGGAAATTTTTTAACTTGGTTGATGAATTTGAAGCTGCCGATCAACTCTGCAATTTCATTTAATTATTTCTTTTGTTCAGGTGATAATGATGATGTAATATCGAATAGGTAAATACCAACTAACCCTTTCAACCATTTTAAATTTTTTTAAAAAATTTACTTATTGTACATTATCTATAATTAGGAATGGATCAAAAAGAAAATAAAAGATGTTGAATATAGCGAATTTAAAGACGTTAAAGAAATTGGTAAAAGAGGATTTGGTGTTGTAAATAGGGTGGCAACTAATGATGGAATGCAAGTTGCACTTAAAAGCATTATCGAGAAGAAAACTTCAAAACTTGAAGATGATGATATTAAAAAGTTTGTAAATGAGGTAAAAAATTTTATTTTTGTCAATTTACTGTATACAAAGTTAAAATTTAACATATTATGCTCATTTCATTCTTTATTCAGATAAAACTTGTTCGTATGGTTGGTTTTCATCAATGTCAATGGCTTTCTTGGAATATCAAAGGGTTATTAAAAATTTTATTAATAATTTAAACATTAACAACTTTTAAAATTACATTAATCTATTTAAATGAATAGATGATATCGGGAATTATATTATGGTATTGGAATATGCCAATGAAGGAAATTTAAGAGACTATTTGATAAATGAAAAAATGGAGAGATTTAAGGAAGAAAGATTCATTAGAATGGAAGGATAAGATTCTTATGGCATATGATGTTACTTGTGGATTAAATGTTTACAATCCAAAGACATAATCCATAGAAACTTGGTAAACCAATAATTTTTATAATACATTTAATATTTAACGTATCGTTTCGTTAAATAATGTTAATAATTATAACACACAAAAAACATATTAGTGAATAGTGAATAATGGTGGATTATTAACTAAACAACTAATGGAATTACATCTAGCTAGTACTGTAGTAGTTCAGTAGCTACTAGGATGAGAATGATTGAATATATTGAACCACAATGTAAACTATAAAAGAGACAAAAAATCTGATATTTATAGTTTAGGTGTTCTATTTTGGGAAATTATAAGTGGACATCCTCCTTTTTTCAAAAAGTATCTTTGCATTATGTCGTTGCATTTGTGGTGGTTATAGAGAAGAACCAATTGAAGGTACGCTTTTAGAGTATAGTCAACTTTATCAAAAATGCTGGGGTAGAGATACGACTATCTCTCGTGGAATCGAAATCGCAACCTGTGTATTTCATATGTCTCAACTTCGCGAAAATTACAACTTCCCATATATTGCTACTTGTTGGGTGGCAGCACATCAATTTTAGAACAACTTAACAGAATATTTAATGATAAATTTAAGGTTGTAGACCAAATTTTGTAACCTGTTGATTGCGAATTAAATGAAAATATAACGTAACGAGTCAAATGGTAAAAAAAAGTCAGAACGATATGATGGTGGTAATAATTATTAATAATAATGATGACGGTAGTGCTGATGGTGATGATGATGGCGATGGTGATGGTGATCGTGATCGTAGTAGTGGAGCTAAGGGCAAAACAGACATAAAATTCTCTTTATAACATTTTCCGAATGTGAAGAATATTTTCAAGAATTTGTAATCCGTGTTCATTTAATGCAAAAATTGATAAATATGCTGATTCTAGACGAAAGAGGTACAACATAGTAGTATACACGCTATAAACAATTGGAATATTCATATCCGTATCCGAGAATATATTATATCAGGTGGGTTGTTCACGAGTGGAGGAGGGGAGGACAAATGTCGAAACCATTGTGCTTGAATTCTGAGGACAGCATTTCTATGTAATAACTGAACCTATCTCGTCATCCGAATAAATTATCTAGTTTTAGGTTTCTACCGAATCATTTTTATTACATTTAATTAAAATAAATAAAATTATTGTTATTTTTATAATGGCTGTTAATAAAAACTATGATAAGATAAATGAATACTTATTAATATATTCATTGACCAATTACTTTGGATATTACTTTCTGGTCATTTGATCATTTAAAGGATCATCATTTGTCATTTGATTTTGATTGGTTGACATCTTATCACATGATTTAATTGAAATTATACCCTGAATACTAGTAAATTTTAGAATCGGAACATGATCGGCATCGGCCGATAATTTATCCGAATTTTATTTGTCGTTATCCCTAATTATAATTAATACTTATCTAATATTGTATTACACACATTCAAATAAATTCCCATGTATTGAATGTTGTGTACTTTTTCGTGGAATAATTTGTTTCCGAATAATTTATTCCGTACTTATAAAAAGAAATTGAAATCTACAATAATTATTTTAGTTTTTTTTAAATTAAAAAAAAAAAATGCCAGTCAAATTAGATAATAATTACGATTTGTCAGGATACGTTATAATTCTTACTGGTGCGACTGATGGTAAATAAATTCAACTCCACTTAAAATAATTCAATCACTTTGCTTACATTTTATATTATTTATTAGGTATCGGTAAAGATATGGCAAGAATTTTAGCTGGATTTAATCCAAAACGATTGATTTTACCAGTTCGTAATAAAGAAAAAGGAAATATTTTATTAGAATATATTAAATCTTCTAATGGACATGCAAAGAATGTTGAAATTTGGGAAATGGATTTAGCAGATTTACAAAGTGTAAAAAACTTTGCTAATAAATTCATCAAAGAAGTTGGAGAATTACATATGTTATTAAATAATGCAGGTAATCTTCGGAGTCCCTTGCAACGGACTTATTGCCCAATACTTTCATGCTGGAGGGAGTAGACTACCTTCACCTACCAATTTTTCTGGAAGTAAGTTTCGAAGCGAAACTTGGTTATTAATACTATTGCATTTTTTATCTGTATTTATCTATTCGACGTATCTTTCGCCGTAGGAGTAATGTCTAGCAATCAAGTTATTAAAACAAAGGATAACCTTGAAATACAATTTCAGGTAAATTTATTATTATTTTTTTATCTACAAATCGTTTGTATAGCATTCGCTTTATAACATTCATATATTATTATAGGTCAACCATTTAGCGCCATTTTTACTTACTTTATTGTTATTGGATACAATAAAAAAATCGGTTTCCGCTGAATTACCCGGAAAAATTGCATTTACTAGCTCATCTGGTCATTTCAATGGCGAGATTGACTTTGACAACTTAAATCTCGAAAAACGTTCTAGCTACTGGCATCCTATTAAAGGAAATTACGGAAATACTAAATTGATGGTAAGTATTTCATTTATTGGTATTTTATTCAATGATAAAGACTTAAATTTTTACGTTTTTCTTCTTTTCCTTTTTTTTTTTAAAAAAAAAGAATGTTATTGTTGCCAAGGAACTAAGTCGTATTGTTCAAAACGAAAGTATGTATGACAAAAATATGAAGAAAACTCATTTTTTACTAGCATGCATGTACTGTAACTTTTTTTTAATTATGTAGATATTAGAACGTATTCGCTTCATCCTGGTATAATTAGTACAAATTTAAACCACATGAATAACAGATATACAACTTATTTTATAAATTTATTGATAATGATGTTTGAAATATCAGCTGAACAAGGTGCCATTAATACTCTTTATCCTGTACTTTCTCCCGAAAATAAAGAAACAGGAGAATACTATAACGAAGGAATTAAACAGGAGCCAAATAAAATTGCTAATGATCAAGAAGTTGCAAATAAATTGTGGAAAGTTTCTGAACAATTATTAAGAGAACATGGGTTGATTTAAATACCAAGTTTGCTTTTTTCTTTGTAACAATTTTTTTGTACACACAGTAAATATAAGTTAACTTCAGTTATTATAAATAGTATATACCAGTATGTGTTTTTAAAGAATAATATAAAATAAATCCTTTATCCAATATTACTGTATTTACGACTTACAACATTTTACTACGGTAAACGGAATTAAATTATTTACGACATACTGTATTACTGTATGTACTCATTATACTGTAAATGATATAATTAGGGAATTTCGGTGGCACCTATACCGAGATGAGAGCTCTTGAAAAATAAAGAAACGCGAAAATAGTGTAATGAAAGACTCAAATAAAGTTGTATTAAATATTTGCGTAGATAATAGTTACACAAGCACATGCAAGTGACACTCGGGACATTCGGCAATACTCGGTAAAATTCAGAGTCAGACTAAGATAAAAATTATATCGTTAAATTCGGAGCACTGATCCGAGTATATGCCGAGTTACTTTCGGCAAGTGATTAAAGTGTCACCCGTATCTTATGAAAACAGCAGTAATGAAAATGTGAAATGATGTACAACCGAGTTTCTTTTATTATCCTTATTACGCGCTGCGGATATGAACAGTCAATTTATCTATTTAAAGCTCAAAATTCTCACTTGAAGTTCTAAACTGTCGACTCCAAAAAAAAACATGCCAATTAAATTAGAAATTCAAGATTTATCGAAATATGTTATAATCCTTACTGGTGCAACTGATGGTAAAATATTTTTTTTCAAAATTAAAATTTTGCTTAGTATGATAATAAATTCCTTTTATTTAATTTTAAGGCATCGGTAAAGAAATGGCGAGGATTTTAGCCAAATCTAATCCCAAGCGATTGATTTTACCAGCTCGTAATATAGAAAAAGGAAATAAATTATTAGAATATATTAAATCTTCTAATGGGAATGCAAACAATGTTGAAATTTGGGAAATGGATCTAGCAGATTTACAAAGTGTAAAAAACTTTGCTAATAAATTCATTAAAGAAGTTGGAGAATTACATATTTTAATTAATAATGCAGGTAAAAAAAAAAAATGAAAATAAAAATAGCGACTTATTAATCACGTTTCACGTTTATATATTTACTTATTTGAAATATTTTGTAGGAATAGTCGTTCAGAATCAAATAATTAAAACGAAGGATAACCTGGAATTACAATTTCAGGTAATTAATTTACTACCTTTTTTTTTCAAGTCGTTTATTTTTGATATTCGCTTATTAACTTTTATACATTATTCAGGTCAATCATTTAGCACAATTTTTACTTACTTTATTGTTATTGGATACAATAAAAAAATCGGTTTCTGCTGAATTACCTGGAAAAATTGCATTAACTAGTTCAGAAGCAAATCAGTTTGGAGAAATTGATTTTGATAATTTAAACCTTGAAAAAGGTAATTACTGGAATCCTATTAAATCCTATGGAAATACGAAATTGATGGTAATTATTTAAATCAAATTTCATTTTTAATAGTTTTAAATCTTATTAAAAAAATTTTATTATTTTTGATTTTTGATTTTTTTTTAAAAAAGAAAGTTATTGTTGCCAAGGAATTAGGCCGTTTAGTTCAAAACGATAGTAAGTATTATAAAAAAAAAAAATTTTTTTACAGCATGAAAGAAAAATGTTTTAACTCTTTTCTTTTAAACATGTAGATATTACAACATATTCGCTTCATCCTGGTATGATTAGTACAAATATAAACCACATGAATAACAGATATACAACTTATTTAGTAAATTTATTAGCAATGGTGTTTGGAATAACAGCTGAACAAGGTGCCATCAATACTCTCTATCCCGTATTTTCTCTCGAAAATAAAGAAACGGGAAAATATTATAATGAAGGTATTGAAAAGGAACCAAATAAAGTTGCTAATGATCAAGAAGTTGCAAAGAAACTATGGGATGTTTCTGAAAAAATATTAAAAGATCATGGAATGATCTAGAAATTTTATTTATTTTTTAATTTATCTTATTTTTATTTTTGTAATAATTACTCTGTATTATTTAAATAAAATAAATTAGCATTTCACTTATTGTCGTTGTAAGATTCTGAATTAAAATGCGAGGCAATAATTCGACTATAATTTTAGACTAAAATCTACCCTATAAAAAACTTTATCCGTTATTTCTGTAAAAACTCCGTAAAATGAGCCTTTCACGGATCCATTCACCGGAAATGTAAATAAATCGATAAATTCCGTGATATAAGGTTATTAATTCCGGAAATATGAGCCTTTTACGGAAAAAGATGGAATATAAAAAACGGATCGATTTTTTTACAAGGCTAGTCAGAATTTAATAAAGTCGTTATAGGTACGAATTTCTTTGAAAACTTTAAATAAATATATGCCGAACCTTCTTAGATCGTAGGTTATACTATTCATACCTTCATTAACTTGTAACTATCAATTTTTCGTGTGTAAAAATCCTAATACTGATATCTGGTACAGTATCATTTCACATCATTCTTCAATGTATATATAACTCTTTGTTGTTTTAAAATTTAATCATTCATACATTTTAAAATGCTGTAACTTATAGCATAATGGAATAAAAAAAATTTCTGTGATAATAAATCAAAGACTTTGACCATGATTAGGTTGTTCCAACTTTGATTGTTTGCTTAACGTCCAGATTTTCTATGTATAGTGTGATAGACTATTATTGTGTTGTAAATTTAGCAAGCATAAAATTGTAACTCATGTTCTTGCCGTGTAATAAAGATTTTAATATACAATACTTCACCTTTTATTGCGTCAATTATTATCTATATTATTTTAATAGAACGTATCAAAGTAAGAAACGAAGGAACTTTTAAGAGAACCATATATAACTAGGAATACTTTACTGTTTTAGATATTCAAATTGGATGTAAATGTCACAAGTGAAGTTGCTGTTACTCAATTTCATTGACATTAACGTGTTATGGAGTAGAAAAAAGTATGTATCTGTTTTGGGAGTAACGAAAATATTTCATTTTTGAAGATATAGATTAGGGATAAAATATTATGATTTAAAAAGATTATGTGTTAGCAACTTGCGTGTGAAAAAAACGTTCGAAACGTTTTTTGTACAATAATATATTTAAAAAAACGTTTTGCATCGATGATAACAGAATATTCTCTGAGTAAACATCTCATCAAGCATTACTGATTCGTCATCCGTTATTGGTAAATAAATGGATGATCCGGTTTCAAATCGGATAAATCCTCGGATTGGCGGTGTAATGCCGTAGTATACATAGTGAATTTATTAATTGTAAGGCGCAGCATTATATTTAGAATTAGTGTATAAATTTTTAGTAGTTTAAAATTGTATATCAATGGTCCGAAATGACGTTAAACTATATAATAGAGAACTATAAGTTATCAGGTGATTACGTCCGAGATGACGTTATTTTTATTTTTATTTTTAAAATCCACGTTCCGAGATGACGTTAAAGTCGTTAAACTAGTAGATCATTTTTAAAGAATTATATCAAGTGATTAAGGTTATCAGGTGATTCAAATTTGAAGATCATTTTAGAAGAAATCTATAATTAGGAAATTTACATTTTTGGAAGTGGATTTGAAGGTCAAAAACGAAGAAAAATTCAAAATTTCAAAAACATGATAAACGCTAAGTATTGAAGTGTGCGGTTCGTTTGGGCATAAAATTAAAATTTTTGGTTTTGCCACAAAACATAGTGATGAAAGGCGCAAGAAGTTTCTTTAAGAAAGTATTTTTAGATTTATATAAAAAGGGGTAAATATTGACTTTGTGGAAATTCAGGATACGAATTTGGGGATTTATTTAGATAAATCACCCCATTCGGGTGATCATCAAAGGTTATAACCTTACGATTTATGTCACAAATGCATAGGTTATAACCTTATATGGGCGGCCCATGGGCCATAATTTAATGTCACGTGACCCGATTTTTTAATTCTGGCCCAACATGCGCAATTTTGGCATGTTAATTTTGGAACACGTTACATGCGCTAATTACTGTACATGTTACCCAAATGTAACATGCGGTGATTCAGACGCATGTTATTCATCCGTAACATGCGATAAATTGGGCGCATGTTACCCATCTGTAACATGCAGTGATTCAGACGCATGTTACGGATGGGTAATATGCGTTAATTCTGGCGCATGTTACTCATTCAT